TACACATTCATGCTGCTGCTCCTCCACACCGCCATAATCCACTCACCCCAAAGTGAAGTTTTTACCCACGAAAGCTTATGCCCAAATAAATCTGTTAGTCTTTAAGGTGCCACCAGACTCCTTGTTGTTTTTGTAGATACAGACTAACATGGCTACCCCCTGATACTTCACCCCAACTGTAGACTTAGGAAGATCTGTCAAGAGAGTGCATACCCATCTAGCAGGGTGGAACTCTGAGTTCGAGGGCTAGTCTCTAGTGGAAGCATTCCACAGATTTGAATCCTGCTTGGGTCATTTTTTAAAAATATATTTTAAGCATAAACGCCAGACAATTATAGAATACAGGTATTTTAAATCAGACACCTGGGTGACAGGAGTGTTAGCACCATATAGGCCTCATGCTATTAGCTGTGCTGGAAGTGCAGCTGTCAGGGTAGGTATGTGACAATAAAATGCAAAGGTAAAAAGCTCCGTGAATCATACTGTTGTTATGGGTTTGGGTCCCATAGTAAGAATGACCATAATATACCTCCAGTTGTACTTGATCACAAGTTACATAAAGTCCAACTCAAATATACCTCTTTGGAAATAAGACAACATTTGTAGGATTAAAGTTTTCAAAGCAGCTTGTGAATTTAGATGCAAATGTTCATCGCCACCAATGGAAGATGTCTCAGTCACCTAGACTACTTTAATAGAGGATATATTATGGCTGAGATTTTTAAATAGATAACAGAAAGGCTGAATTCTGAAAATGAAGTTCTAGATAACTAAAAGTATTAAAGTAATTAAACATTCTATTTTTGTTGTATACTTCATTTTGAGTCTGATATTTCAACCCTAGAATGTTGACAGTTCTGGTAGAGAGAAAAGCAAGAAGAGTCAAAGGAGAAAAAAAAAAAAATCAAAACTAAGATTTGCCAGGGCTTAGCTACTACAGACATCTACTTTGGGTATCAAATCTATCAGTAATAAGGATTAGAGGGTTTTTTTGTTTGTTTGTTTTATCATGACCTTCTCTCCTTTAGTTTATAACTTTTAAGGTATAGTTTAACTTCATGAACACCCATCTTAACCAGTTATATACACCCAGCACTAATTAAGGGAAGACCAATTTAGACTACTCCACAAGAATAATGTATGACAATATACAAAATCCTAGAACTCTGGTATACACCAAACAGGAAAAAAGGTCAACAACAGTTTATGTATGATTCACACACAGCTGCTTAAAATAGCCATAAGAGACATTATCTACTTTCACACCTAGCACTAACTTTGTCTCAGGCAATCTGGTCCTCCTAGGTTTACCCAGGGCCAGAAAAATTAAGAGAAGCTGGTAAGAAAGACAGAGGACACTGCCATCAGAAAGCTCCATAGGGAAAGCACTGTTCAGAAACCAAGTACGTCAAAATTCCTGGGAAAGCAGAAGATGCTGCTCCTGGGCCATGTCTGGGGTCTCCAAACATTTGTGTCAATCTCTGATAAATGTGAAGCCTATTTTCTCTCACCCAAGAATCCTTCTGATTACTAACAGGGAGCAGAGGCACATTTTCCCCTCTCCCACCCTAAAGCCTCCTAGCTGCAGTAAGACAGTGTCCTAGCTACTGACTGTTGCAGGGCAGGGCTGCTATTTTTGGGTCACCTTTTTTCCCCGGTGGATAGTGCCAATGCCTGACTGTGCTTCAGCTTGTAGCTTCCCACACCCCACCAAGCTGCAGTTAAATTAAATGGATCAACTGGTCACCCACACTGCTGCCATTCAGAATCCTGTGAGAAGCTGTAACTGCCCACTCTTGTCCATTTCACTCGACAACAGCTTGGGAAAACTAGCAGCTACGGAGGCACTGGAGCTGTCTGCAGAATCAAGAACAGAGAACTGAGCATTGGTTCATATTTGGAAGGGTATCATCACAGCCATAAACAAATTTTCTTTTCAAAAAAGATGGAATTCTGCAGAAGTTTATGGCGTAGGTCTCCCCACTCACCAAGGAAAGGTCTCTGCTTGCCATTGGTAAGTGGATTTGTCAAGTCCTGCCCGCTTCCCAAGAGGTCTAAGCATCCTCACTGTATTTCTGCAGGAATGATGGGTTCACACATATCCATTACTCCTTCTGCAGAGGATTTTTACTACGCTGCAAGCTAAATACATCCTACACCTTGCTCAGTTTCTACTCAATGACCTAATTCTAGAGCTTGACCAGAAAGAGAATTGAATTCTGAGGAGTTACTATAGCAACCATTAGATGTCATCTTAGAATGGCTTAGGGCTACACTTCCTACAGGAATTCTATCACTAAGAATGAAGTGCAGCCAGAGGGAGGAAGTCATTGGTACGTTTCATAGTTTGTCAGCTATTTTGCTCTACTTCCTCTATCTGTATACACTGAGGATGCAACTCAGTGAATTTAGAGATCAAGAAATGCTTATTGGGAAAAGTCACAGAGGCCAAGTCATATGACCCATTCCCAATATGATTGCTTGTCACACGTCCAGTGAGCCAGCAAACTCAAATTTTACTATAAGATTTCTCATAAGAGGTTTCTCTAAGCCCAGTTTTGGGGTTTGTGCATTTTGTTCTGTTTTATTATTATTTTATTATTTCAGAGCCCAATGCAAAGCAGTTCCAATATTAAATGCTTGTGAATTTATTTTAACCTGATCTTTGAAGGTTCACAACCCTCTAATGACCACAGCAGGCACACAGCTCAGTAATACCAACTGTCTACGATATGCAATGTATTTCGCATAGTTTACTCATTATTAGAGGTATATCTGTTTTGAGTTATATGGCTGAATTAACTGTGTTTAAAAAATAACAAAATGACTATCTTCATCTACATCTGTTTAGTTCCGATTATCCTTCCATGCAAAAGGCCAATATATCCTGAGCTGAATCCAGTTAAGGATACCTTTTTCCTGGTACCATCATTAGCGGGAACTCAAGTTCAGGAATACCCATTGCTGAGAAAGGACTTCACTTTCCAAAAACTAATGCTCCCTGGCTGGGATGCATATTGATCTCTTGACCATTTCTAAAGATCGGTCTTTCATTAGCTGCCCAGGTGGGGAACACAACAAGCACTAATCTCAAATGTCGAACTGTTCCGTGGCTGCAGTGGACAACGAAGGAGCCAAGACTACTCCAAATGGGGGTAAGAGATCCTCATAACGAACTTGAAATCCCTCCTGTGGTTGAGATAAATCCACATGGTGGCATATGGGTCCAACATGTAAATCCATACTCTAATTTAGAAAGGAATACTATAGAGAAATACATTGAAAGGTAAAATACCCTGCAAATTTTATTTGCACTGGAGGGGTAGAAAGTTTTCCAAGAGAGCAAACTAGCTAGATGGTTTTGCTATTGCAGTGAATACCAAACTGAACTGTTACAAATGTCTTAAGCTTCTTCCATTCATAAGACATTTTGTAAATTCTCTAAATAGTTTCATAATGATGAAATAATCTGTTCCTTATATACAAAACTTCAAGAGTTGAGCCATCAGCCATATATATGCATCAGTAATCAGCATTTTGACTTTGACACCCTTGCCTCTATATTAGATTGCAAGATCTTTGGAGCAGGAAATGTCTCTGGCTCATGTTTTGGTAACACAACATGTAAATTTGTGTCATGTATGTGATTTATAAAATTACACTTTATTCCTTCAGCAATAACCATTCATGAGCATGAAACCTGCCTGACTGAAATTGCTATCTGAGAAAGGTTTTGCCAAAATGGATGGGATGAGGTTATGCCAAAAAGGATGGGGTGAATGGGCAGGGGTTTTGCTTTTGAAGTGCTTAGAAAAGTTTAATACTGTTGACATTTTGTAGTACTGTATACTCAAATTGCCTGTATGCTTGCTTCCACTGCTGCCACCCCCATATGCCCAGAAGCTTCTTCATAGGTACTTGGTATAAACAAAAGAAAGTCAAGGCTATGATTCTGTAACCACTTAAGCTACCTCTACACTACAAGCTAAGGGTGCGATTCCCCTGCTATCTCTCATTGAGCTAGCACAAGTATAAATAGCAGTGTAGCCCTGGATCCAAAAGTAGTGGCAGGAGAGACATGGCTTAGCTGTGCCAAGTACAAACCTGCCGGAAATCAGTAGGTATGTACTTTGCACAGCTAAGCTGTGCCTCTACAGCCACTACCCGTGCTACTGCAGCTACACTGATATTTATACTTGTGCTAGCTTGATGAGAGCGATGCAAACATATGTACACGAACAGGGGAATCACCCCCTTAGTTTGGAATACAGACAGTCTTGAGCACATCTCTCTATACATGCGTATGGCCCCACTGAAGTTGGTGCTTCTGTTCATATTTTGTAGTTATGCAATGCTTTGAAGGATTGCTATTCAAGACAAATTCGGAGATGGAATCCCAGAGATGTGCTCAAATACAGGCAGGCAATAGTTTTCCTATACAGTATTTGCAAGGTGAATTACTATGGTTGCATTTCAGGTAACAGGTGTCCAAATGACCCTTTTTGCATGCGCAGTTCGGATAACTGCATGCACAAAAGTAAGCATGCAGTTTCATGTGCATTTTTGCATATGATCTTCTTCCAAAATATTTAGTGTTGTGGTAATTTATTACTACTTCTTTCAAAGAAATTAAATGCAATTTTGAAAGTGTTTATTCATATAGTAAGTCTAATTCAAATATGACAAAAATGCACTTAGGAAGGTGATAGCATCTGTTATCCATTTCACTATGCTGATCAATACAAGAGAGAAAATAATTCCAAATCAGTTACTATTTAAAAGAAAATAATTCATTTAATTAAAGCTATTTTTATATTAAGAGATTGCAGTAACTGTTTGATTACTACTGTAGCACTATGGACCCCCATAATTGGTTTTGTATTTTTTGCCCTTTTTTTTTAAATGTATTATGCTTCCTTAAAATGTAAAGTTCTCAAGATCCGTTACATGGAAAAGTAACTAGGTTGAACTTCAAGAAGTCTATATACTGCTGCATTTACCTTTTCTCTGATGTTGTTTTTACTTTGTTCATCTTGGAAAAAACTTAGTTCTTCAATTCACCATCTCAGATAACCTGTAAAACACATTTAAAAAATTAAGACTTATTAGCAATGTATTGTCTTGCTGTACAACGAAGTGCTACCATCATATTATAGTGCTCAGAATCTCTGCACTGGAAGTTTTAAATACAAGTGATTTCATAAAGAGTACTTGGTACACTGAAGAAAAAAGGTAATTCTGTTCCCAATTCAACATATAGGGCCTAAGGAATGGAGCAAAATTAATAGAATACTGAAAATACAGTAAGCATGCAGTAAGGTCTTAAATTATAGTTTAATCATGCTAATCTCAGGGAATACAGACTTTGATAAGATATTGAAAATCAGTAATTTTATCATAATGCATGTATCATGAACAACTTGCGCGATATGTCCAGAGAAGAAAGCTACCTGCTTAGGCATCTCCTGGAGCCAAACATGTACGTTTTTCCAAATTTCTTGAAAAAATTTGAGATGCCACACTATATCTCCTTTTCTTGATGGCCACTTCATGTTCTTAATTTTGAGACTAGAAATCTAGATGCACAGTCAGAAACAAAGTGTTTGGTATTCTTATTTAAGTAGGACCTGAAAATATTTCTTGGACAGAAACCACAGCATGCCAATAGCTTAGTTTTCCTATCCTTTTAAGTACATGGTGTCCTCGGAGTCTCTCTCAGTCTTATATGGTGCCTCTGAGCAATTAAGGTTGCAGTTTATAGGACCATAAACTGAATCTCAGTGATTCTATCCAAGATAAAATGTGAGTGAGACCCCCTATAATACAAAGAAGAGTTCTCTGAGAGGCCATATGTTTGTTATAAAGCACTGAAGTACAAGACAAACTCAAACAATATGTTCGGAAAACAAAGGCACTTATCCTCTTGCTATTTGTGGGTGAGAAACTTTCTCTGCTGCGTACTAGCCCTCAAGTTTACAAGATCTTGTTATTATCACTGCCACTTGAAGATAACAGGCAGTAACAAAACTTCCAGTTTTGTTATGAAGCTAGCTGATGAAGAACAGCAGAAGAGGTATAAAGTGATCTGTAGGAAAGAAAGGAGGAACTATCAAAAATTTAGAGAGAGAGAAAGAATAGGATGCTTCACGCGCAAGTAGGATACTGATGCCAATAGAAGAAAGAGAGAACCCCAAACCAACAGCAGAAGCAACTCCAAACTTTTCAGACACTTACAAGCCAAGACCAATATAAACAGTGAGGCGTAACAGCAGCTCCCCTCCACTTACCTGAAGCAATTTCCTTTCCTAGCAACCAATGGGGGGAGGGCGGGGAAGAATGCTTGGCTTCTCACAAGAAGCACCAACAGTGTGTGTCTGGCTAACAGGTGGCTGGCCAGTTTGTCCAACCAATGTTCAAATGTAGAATTTCTCTGCTTCCTCCCATAAAAAGAGGGAGGTGGGGGAAGAATTGGTTACAAGGACTACAACTGGGTCTACTACACAAAATACCTTATCTACAAGGTTATAAAGTTCAGATTATTCAAACCAGGCCAGAGATCTAACTGGAGGGAGAAGACATGATTAAGTTACCATAGATTGTTCTTTTATGGTAGTTGTCTGAGAGGACACTCATATTACTATAGAAGAATGCACATTAAACAAGCGTTAGAAGACGGCAATAAAAAAATCCTTATAAATTTTCAAGAAGCATGTTGCCAATAACCTGTTCATATTACTAGGCAGAAAATGTTTCATTAACTTGTATTAACTAACAACATCTCCAATTTTTATTTCTTTATCTTTAAACCAAGCTGTACAACCCTAGGGAATTTAGAGTTAAGGTTACACATAAGAAATCCCAACATCTTAAAGAAAGAAACAAACAGTTAAGGCTCCCAAACAACCTTACCTCTGCCCTGTAGTTATATCATGCAATAACCATACAATTATGATTACAGCTTTTTAGTGTTTGTGATCTCAGGTTAGATTAAAGTGATTTTTAAAGACATTAGATTTTTTTCATCCCCACCCCCGTTCCATCACTGTTACAAGAGTATACATCACATAAGCAAGCATGGAAGAGTGCAACGAGCAAGCTATCACACAGGCGGGATATATCCGCATCTTATTTCTTCAGCTGGTTGTTTACTGTTTGAACATAACTGCTATTCAGAGCAAATGAGATTTCTACTATACAGTACCCTTTTTTGTTTGCAACAAATAGGTATCTTAGAAGTTGACTCTCTAGTCTTAAGAGAAGTACAAAATAGAGGAGTTTTTCAGCCAGGTACCAGGGAGAAACCCAATTCCTGGCCAATATACTCATTGTCTGGTCATGGTGCTTACATTTTCTTTCCCCTCTCCTGCTTCTTTTGGCAATGAGTTATAGGCTTGCTAAGGAGTCTTGAAACTTTGTGTGCTGGTGCATATGAAAGTGAAAAGGACAATGCTAAGAGAGATGAGATGGGAGTGGGGATTAGGGGGATGGGAGAGAAGGAATTGACTTGATTTTGGTAGGGAGAAATGCTTTCCAGGAACATGGTGTTATAGCAGGGGTGGGCAAACTACAAGCCAGATCCGGCCTGCAAACCTTTTTAAGCTGACCCGCGAACTCCCGCTAGGGAGCAGGATCTGGGACTTACCCCGCTCCAGCACTCCAGCCGGGACGCAGGGTTGGGGGCTGCACCATATGGCTCCTGGAAACCGCAGCACGGCCCCGCTCCAGCCGGGGCACAGAGTTGGGGGCTGCACCACACGGCTCTGGAAGCCACGGCATGGCCCCGCTCCACACAGCTCCCGGAAGCTGTGGCATGGCCCCGCTTCAGCTCCTAAGCACTCCAATGGACCCACTCCAAGGGCCCCCTCCGGCGCTCCAATGGGAGCTGCAGGGGCAGTGCCTGGCTGCGCCTCCCTATAGGAGTCAGAGAAGGGAACTGCCGCTGCTTCCGGGAGCCACTTGAGATAAGCCTGCACCCCTGAGCCTCTCCCTGCGCCCCAACCCCCTGCCCTGATCCCCTTCCCGCCCTCCAAACCCCTATATCCCAACCCAGAGCACCCTCCCGCACCCCAAACCTCTCATCCCCAGCTCCACCCGAGGCCGCACTGCCAACCAGAGCCTGTACCCCTTCCAGCACTCCAACCCCCTGCCCCAGTGCAGAGCCCCCTTCTGCACCCTGAACTCATTTCTGGCCCCACCCTAGAGCCCTCACCCCCTCCAGCAGTTTGTTCTCTTTATATATTTAAATACACTTTGAATGAGAAGTTTAACTTTGAATCTCCTGATTTTTGGCTGTTTTTATGTACATAAAACTGCAACTCCAGCTTAAAAAAGCATTTTTATTTGGGAATTTAAAAAATATATACACCGGACCCTCGGTAGAACGCGCGTCTACATAGCGCGAATTCGCATATAATGCGGTCGCAGCCATGGATCCCAAATTTAATTACTTTAATTGCAATTCATTTTAATGCAGTCCCCGCAGTACAGCACATGGATCCCAAATCCCGTGTTCTAGCGAGGGTCCAGTGTAGTTGTATGCAGGTTTGGTCTGTTGGTAGTCCTAATGTTGGAAGTTGGACTCTTTCTCTGTAACTGGTAAACTTTGAGCCCATAGAGGATTATTACTTCATGCATATTGGACTATATGAAATATCACCTTGAAATCTAGTAATTAAAAATATGACTAAACAAAACCCCACACACCTTATTTTTAAATTCCTGTAGATACTATACCTGTTCTGAGTGGGAATGGGGCAGATATGGTATCTGAAAATACTAAGTTTTTATTTTAATTCACTAAATTTCAAATTGACAACATCTCTTTAAGAAAGCTGTAGGTAATGCTGTCTGACTGCCAGCAATAAAGGAATATCTTAGTGTGGGGCAAGTGGATAGGATCAGAGGATTATTTCTTTAGGTTTTTTTAAGGGTTTAAATACAAGTTCACTGCATGGTCTAGCAGACTACTAAAGAGAGATTTTGATAATTCATCAGTACACTTTGCACACAATTCTCTAGTTATGTGGGTTGCTAACATTAACAGCCCCATTCTTTTCTTCTCCCATCTCTTTTATTGTCTCCTCCTGTTTTTTTTCCCCCTCTTCCTGTCATTATTTTTCTCTTGACCTAGAGCATTCAGACACTTGAACTGCACCAAAGTGCTTTTGTGGGCTTCAGAATTAAACAAATTGATATCTTGTGATCCTAGTTACTTTAGCTCTGTAGCTGGCTCCACTTGTAAAGCACTTCAGTACATGTTAATATGTGGATACTGCATGCACCAATAGACTCAGTTGTCTGACAGCTGGCCAATGTCACAAGCAAAACAGTGACAGATTGGTCACTTGTGGTAATGCTCCTAGAATCTCATGTAAAAAATACAGGAGTACTTGTGGCACCTTAGACACTAACAAATTTATTAGAGCATAAGCTTTCGTGGGCTACAACCCACTTCTTCGGATGCATATAGAGTGAAACATATATTGAGGAGATATATATACACACACATACAGAGAGCATGAACAGGTGGGAGTTGTCTTACCAACTCTGAGAGGCCAATTAAGTAAAAGAAAAAAAAAAAAACCAACCTTTGAAGTGATAATCAAGATAGCTCAGTACAAACAGTTTGATAAGAAGCAAGTGTGAAAATACTTACAAGGGGAGATAGATTCAATGTTTGTAATGGCTCAGCCATTCCCAGTCTTTATTTAATCCTGAGTTGATTGTGTCTAGTTTGCATATCAATTCCAGCTCAGCAGTCTCTCGTTGGAGTCTGTTTTTGAAGTTTTTCTGTTTTAAGATAGCCACCCGCAGGTCTGTCATAGAATGGCCAGACAGGTTAAAGTGTTCTCCCACTGGTTTTTGAGTATTATGATTCCTGATGTCAGATTTGTGTCCAGTAATTCTTTTGCGTAGAGACTGTCCGGTTTGGCCAATGTATATGGCAGAGGGGCATTACTGGCACATGATGGCATATATCACATTGGTAGATGTGCAGGTGAACGAGCCCCTGATGGTATGGCTGATGTGATTAGGCCCTATGATGATGTCACTTGAATAGATATGTGGACAGAGTTGGCATCGGGCTTTGTTACAAGGATAGGTTCCTGGGTCAGTGCTATCAGGAACAGTATCCCTGATAATGTCACAGCTAACCTGGTGGCTGAACTCTGTGACTTTGTCCTCACCCACAACTATTTCACATTTGGGGACAATATATACCTTCAAGTCAGCAGCACTGCTATGGGTACCCGCATGGCCCCACAGTATGCCAACATTTTTATGGCTGACTTAGAACAACGCTTCCTTAGCTCTCGTCCCATAACGCCCCTACTCTACTTGCGCTACATTGATGACATCTTCATCATCTGGACCCATGGAAAAGAAGCCCTTGAGGAATTCCACCATGATTTCAATAATTTCCATCCCACCATCAACCTCAGCCTAGATCAATCCACACAAGTGGTCCATTTCCTGGACACTACTGTACTAATAAGCGATGGTCACATAAATACCACCCTATACCGGAAACCTACTGACCTCTATACTTACCTACATGCCTCCAGCTTCCATCCAGGACACACCACACGATCCATTGTCTACAGCCAAGCTCTAAGATATAACCGCATTTGCTCCAATCCCTCAGTCAGAGACAAGCACCTACAAGATCTTTATCAAGCATTCTTAAAACTACAATATCCACCTGCTGAAGTGAAAAAACAGATTGACAGAGCCAGACGAGTACCCAAAGTCACCTCCTACAAGACAGGGCCAACAAAGAAAATAACAGAACACCACTAGCTGTCACCTTCAGCCCCCAACTAAAATCTCTCCAGCGCATCATCAGAGATCTACAACCTATCCTGAAAGATGATCCTTTACTCTCTCAGATCTTGGGAGACAGACCTGTCCTCGCTTACAGACAACCCCCCAACCTAAAGCAAATACTCACCAGCAACCACACATCACTGAACAAAAACACTGACCCAGGAACCTATCCTTGTAACAAAGCCCGATGCCAACTCTGTCCACAT